GGCAGTGCTGGAAGAAGCAGCGCTGGTTGGATTTGCTACTTTGTAATTATTCTGAGATAGGTTAAGATGCATATCAACTCTGGTCCTGCCAGATAGGCCAAACAGTGTAGTTCTATTTTTTTTAATGGGTTGCTCTTTTATAGAACAAACAACTGCAATGTTAGCTCAGATATCCCCTGCAAAAGAGCAAAAAGGGTTAAGTAAGGCTGCTGGATGTGGCCTTGGGCAACCTGGTCTAGTGGGAGGTGTCTCTGCCTGTGGCAGGGGGGTTGGAACTTGATGATCTTCAAGGTCCCTTCCAACCTAAACCATTCTATAATTCTATAACTAAAATAAGATTATTGTAGTGTTGGGAACTTATTTTCCTGAGTCTAGCCTGATACTGCACAAATTTAAAAATAAATGAGACAAAATACTTGCTGTAGAATTTGTAATCTAATTTGGGGTTTGAGTCTTTTATATAAAAAATAAAATTTAATCAGGCACATATAAAGATAATAATTACCTAAATAGTTCTGTCTGTGATTAGCATTCAGTTTAAGACTTTTTTTCTATGGTTTTATTTTTCTAGGTAGACTATGATAATCATGCACTTTATAAACATGGCAAGACAGGCCGTAGACAGTCCCCTGTCCGTATCTTCACGAACCTTACCCCAAGTATGATTGTACTTCCTGTGGAAGAGGGTTATAGGTAAGATGTGTTAACACTCAAGTGACTGAAAGAGCGTGCTTGTTCTTAATTAGGGTATGAAGTCTCTAAAGAACTTTGGGATGGTGCTGTTCAGTATTGTTGTGCCTAACTTTTGGATGCCAGACTCTTGAAGAGCACCTTTCTCTGTCTCATTCTAAGGTTGCCTGTTTTATAAACAACGTGTAGGAGAGCTGGGCACCTAAAAAGAGATTTATGTTTTCCAGTGTGGAATGATGAGATTCCTCAGTTGGACCATAGGAAATGTTGTGTACGCCTATGGGAGACAGAGGTTTACAGCTATCCCTGATAATCAGCTTGGTTGAGACAGTACTTAATAAAGTGAACCCTAAGAGAAGCATCAAGGACAAAGGAATGGATTTGGTTTGATTTACTGCTGATAGTGTTGCTAATTTGAATTCAAGCACCTGAATTTTACCATTTGGATGTACTGTGTCTAAATGATTATGAGGCTCTGGGCCTAAGTGGTGATTTTTTGTATCAAAAACATCACCTTTAATTTATCAAAGTGATTTTGCAATCCTTATAATTATTGTTGAGCTTGCATAAAATTCATTTATATTGCTTCTAGAGCAAATAGCGGACCATTAGATTTATAATTTTTTTTTCCAGGTTTTGCGCTATATGTCAGCGGTATGTTAGTTCTGGTAACCAGCATTGTGAGATATGCAATTCATGTACGTCGAAAGTAAGTATTTTGAATTCTTTCTGAATAGAAGTTTGAGTAATAGTCAAATAATAACTTCCATAATTTTTACTCTGTTAAAAACCTATTTTGATACTGATTTCCTTGGGAAACCCCAGACAGTTCTGTTTTGTAGACTTATTATAGGGCTTAATTCATAGCCCATTGGGAATTAATTTCTGTTTCCCCAATCCTTTTTGTGATGGTAAGAGGACAGGAAGAGTTTGCTATTTGCCACTTACACCGTACCATATTCATTAGTTGTCTGTTGACATGTTTCTTCTTACGTTTCGGAAGCTGCAGAACTTGCCAGCTTCAAAATGCAGCCATTTTGCTCTGGTTGTTAGAGATTCTCAGGACTGTTGTTTTAAAGTTACAGTTCTTCCTATAGAGGACCTGTTTCTGTATATAATGGGGACCATACATCAGTAATTTATTTTTAAGATAGAGTCAGTGGTTTTTAAAATAAACAAAGAATGTGCTTATTCATCTTTTGTAGGATGGTAGACGATGGAAACATTGTGTTCTTTGCAAAAAATGTGTAAAACCCTGTAAGTACAGAAAAATACTTTTCTAAATTAGAGTACACTTACTGTTTAAGCTATAGTCCAAAGAAACTGAGGTGACAAACCAGAACAAAAAATATTCTGTAAAAGAAATAAAATGTAATCATTCAGAAGACAGAGAGTAAAGGAAAAAATCTCAATTTCACACAAGTTGCCATTGGATAACTTTGCATTATGTGGAAATTTGATAAATTCTTGTCAGGGAGTGCTAAATCCCATTTATATTTGTTATGGCAAAACTTAAATATTTTGATTTGTTCTGTAAGAGTTTCCTGATTTTGTAAACTTTTTCATTAGAATTTTATAAACAAATAGGCAATTAGAATGTGAGGGCATGATCAAGCTATGTTTCATACACAAATGCAGTTGTATTTATAGCTGTGTTTAAATAGCTGAAGCAATCATTTTTCTTACCGATACAGAAATTGCAATTTGTAAGTCCATTTTAACATCTGGACTATTTTTCATGTTAAGATCACATACAGAATAGTAGTTCTAATGGCAAAATAATTCAGTTATGTTGAAATAGTTAGTATTATCTAATGAAGAAGTACCTGGCTGCTTTATGAAATGTGATAAGGGAACAGAAACTGACTACACCCATCTCTGTAAAAGTAAAACAAAATTAAAAACCTAGTAATGTAGCCTGTATGTAAAGCTTAGTTTCAGAATGATCATTCTAAACCTTTTCAAGATCATAAATCATGCTACTTAACTTTGCAGCTTGGTTTCACTGTAACAATTGCAACTGCTGTGCTCTTCAAAACCACGTTTGTAAGAAGACTGATGCTGGCTGTTTTGTCTGTGGCAAGGCAGGTCACAAGCGCAGTACCTGTCCCAGTCTCTCCGGCACCAGAACAGCTTGCCAGTAAGTGTGGTGTTCCATTGATACAATAAAAGACAGCATTCAGATGAGATTAGATCTTTTTTCATGGGAAGACATGGACCTGTTGGAGTGTGTCCAGAGAAGGGCTGCAAAAATGGTCACATAGGGCTGGAGCACATTTCCCATGAGAGCTGGGGTGGTTCAGCCTGGAGAAGAGAAGGCTCTGGGGAGACCTTATTGCAGCCTTTCAGTACTTAAAGGGGTCCTACAGGAAAGATGGGGACAAACTTTTTAGCAGGGCCTCTTGCGATAGGACAAGGGGTAATGGTTTTAAACTAAGAGAAGGAAGATTTAGACTAGATCTAAGGAAGAAATTTTTTACCTGAGGGTGGTGAAACAGTGGCACAGGTTGCCCGGAGAGGTGGTAGATGCCCCATCCCTGGAAGTGTTCAAGGTCAGGTTGGACAGAGCTCTGAGCAACCTGATCTAGTTGAAGATGTCCCTGCTCATTGCAGGGGTATTGGACTAGATGACTTTTAAAGGCCCCTTTCAATCCAAACTATTCTATGATTATATGATTTAGAAAGAGAATTTTTGGCTTTGGGTGCTGTCGTCAGCTTTCACTATTGTGCATTTGCTGTATTGCTGGGGAGTATGTACTAGAGGAGGATATGATAAACAGGCGGTCACTTACTGCGGCTCCCAATTCCTTAACTGTGTCTTTTCTTTCAAAACTGATTTGTATGGATCCCAAATCCGGTGAGTGGTGCATGAGATAGCTCTGTGAAGAAAATTCAAAACTAAAGTATTGAAATACTTTTAACCCCTTCGGATTCCTCATGAAAGGGCAGAGGAAAGAGTCACTACGCTCTTTTTATTGCTTCCTGTCTCCTTTGCTTTGTTGTGGGATCTTTTTCATTTTTCCTTCTGGTATTTCAGGTGCTCTGTTTAGTATGGTGTAAATCTTCACCATGTAAGAGTGGTGTGACTCATGAGGGTCACATTAAGGACTTCTATTGTGCCATAATTGTGCTTCTGTAACATACACAAGCACATACTTGTATGTATCAAAAGAAACAAAAAAATCTGTATGATGATCTTCAGGTGGAACTAACTGAATAGAGGAAAGGGGATTTGCTGAGAAATCCGGCAGTTGGCTCAGTCTCTCCAGTTTGAGATAGTTGTAACTTCCTGTCCAGCGTGTGTGGTTTGTGATTCTTGACTTGAGTGGCTGTAGTGGGAAAGCAGATCTTCCCTCCCAAAAGATGTACCTCTGTTGCATAGTGAGATTCAGATAGGTAACCTCTTGCATCAGCATCTAGAGATTGACCAGATGCCTGCTGGATGGGAGAGGACTACAGGTGTATTGCTTCATGGCCTGCTGTGACATTAAGCTGCATTTTGGAGTATTAGAGCTAAAACATAGCAATATTTCTTTTTACATACCTCTTTTAAAAATTCCCTCCTGCAATGTTTTTTTTCTTTGCTTAAAAAAGTAAAAAGGATACTAAAAGAAATTCATGAAACGTAATCTGTTTCTTCTGTCAAGTAAGATATTATTCTGCCTGTTGTACTGGAATGCTTTAGTCATTTCGGGCCATTAATTATTTCTTTTGCTATTTATTGCAGAAGATAACTTAGGTTTCTTTTTCTAGTAAAAATATCTGTATGTTTTATTTGTTAAAATTATTCAATGTTTTGTGTTATGAAACACATCATTTGTCAGAGACAGAAAACGATCCACTTGCTAGTTATATTTAGGTCCTGTATTATTTGCAGGGATCTTTGTAATGTTGTTAAACTTTATATGCTTTCTTCTAAGCCTTCTTGTTATATATTCATGTGTTATATATTGAGCACTAAAGTCCACTATGTGCTTTTTTTTGTACTTGGTGAGTGGCATTTCTGAAGTTTTCTACACCTGTTTAAAGGTAAATGCTGGATAAGTACATACATGACAAATAATTAGTGGCAGTAAAGTGGACAAGCAGTTTTAGGAAGATTAAATGCCATAACATCATAAGATGGAATGTTCCTTGTGCTTTTTGTGACAGTACGTCTGGGTTCATGTACTCACACGGACAGATTATTTAAAATACCAGCAAATGTGGAAGTACATTCTCCATTTTATTCTAACCTGCGTGTTCCTTTTTTGCTTTACAGAGCTGACAAAAAGCAAAGGCAGAAAACTGTGAAGAGGATAAAGATGGGGATCTGTAGAAGATCAGCTATCAAGCATGCCATGTTCTCCAGGAAGAAAGTAAAGAATAAGAAAAAAAAAGATGTGACTTCGCTTGCTGATACCTAGTTATTAATTATTTTTTTATGTCCAGCCTTTTTTTCCATTTTTTAAAAACGTTAATATTAACATCAAAATAAAACCTGATTGAGTTTAAAGTGCCAATTCTTTTATTATACATAATTTAAAAAAAAAGCTATGTAAAGCACATGCTCGCCATTTCTTTGTGTAACATAACCATTTTTTGTGTTTAGGATTAGCTATTTGTCGGGTTTCCCCCGGCACCACCTGTCACACGCAGCCGGGCCCGGACCCGGACCGGGCCTCCCCC